TATATTTCGTTACAGTATTATCCATATTACATTTGAAATTCATTTTAAATAATATCTATCTTAGTCATACATCCTGTTTCTGAACTGAAAATTTAAATTTAAGCACGTCTCAAACCGTAATTAAGTTATTACAAACGTCATTTAAACAGGTTTTATTATCTGATTTTATTTTTTAATCAACATTTGATATCATTAAAAAAATATTTTTTGATAAAACAAGGACTTCTTGTCTTGTAAAACGTAAAAACTTAAGTTATTGAGGTACTTTTCTCAATTCAGAAACCGGCCGTTAGTATAACTCAATCGTATTATAGTATGGGTACAATAATGTAATTATTTTTTTTATTTTTATAAGTACTTGGTAACTTGAGAGCCGTAGCTTTAGATAGAAAGAGCCGCAGGTTGCCAACCCCTGCTTTAGGGCGTTCACTGTTTATGAGTGATATTATTTCAAAACATTTTTGCTTACTAGGTACGCTAAAAGATAGTTTGACGTATTAGGTTTTACCTAAATTTCCTTCCTGCTGATCCAATACAACTGTTCTAATGTTAAAAAGTATTTATTATCCGGCAAGCTTAATAAGCACATATAGAAAAAAAAAGTTTGGAAGCAAATCTTTGAAAATTCGCTACTAAAAGTTATATGTATGACTTTCAATAAACTGCTGCTCCCCGTGTCATATTCTGTAATTTTAACAGAATCTCAAAGCTGGTCTCAAAGCTGTCCAATGACAACGTCATACACAGCAACAAAATCCGTCTTATCGGAATTACACCTGTAATACCTGGAAATGTAAATAGATGTTTCTTCTATTTGTAAACATGACCGTTATTCTGTAAAAGTAATATGATTATCTTTTTAAACCTTACTGCTAAAACCCCCAGTGTATAGAGAGCCTTAAATAAACTGCCTGTTTTCTGGTGGCCGCTTCATATGATAATGTTTGCAAATCATATACGTTCCTTGCCTCTGCAGCGGTCTGAGTAAACTTTGTTTTGTCGACGACGGCGCAATCGCTTTGTTCAATTATTTAACTTGGCTGCCACAGCTGCACAACAGCGAAATCCTCTTATCTCACTTACACCTGGAACATCTGGAGATGTAAATAGTTGTTTTTTTCTTAAGGATCATGTTTTATATGAAATCTACTAAGCAGTATGACAGTATCTACAATTTATCTTGGTAAAAAATAAAATTTCAATTTAATTTATTGATCCGATTTCTCATGTTTGGTCATGGTTATAAATTCTAACACTCGAGAGTACTTATTTGAGAATATGTCATAACCTAAACAAATATTTTTTACCAATTAAACAAAAATTTAAATGAATTAGTAGGAACTGTTATAATTAGATTTACAGTTCTTACTTCATTCAAATTCTCGTCTATTGGTTAAAAATACTTGCTTTAGTTATGTATTACTATAAAAACAAATGAATGCCGCCTAACGAAACATAAATGCATGTGTAAATAGCTGTATAAATTTGAATTTGGAATTCCCAACCAAGGAGGAGAAATTTGTGATTAAAATGGCCAGTACGACAAAACGTCAATTTCATATGTAAGGACCTAATATTTTTATTTAACTTGATAATACAATATACTTACTTTTAATTTTATCGTCTCGCATTTCATAAGAAGTATGAATGGTTGCGATAAATTCGGATTTACCACTTTCTGTTTATCACTAATATTTCAATTTTGTATAATTCGTCTGTTCTCCGTCGATTCCTTTGCCATGGAATATCATTGGTTTTTATTAAAATATATAAATTTTCACATTTTTTTTAAATCATTTATACCTACTTACCTTAAGAACCGCGTTCCTTACCGCGTTATTTAAGTTAATAAACAATATAAAATTTTTGATAGGTCATTGTTAATTAATCCAGTAAACACCTTAGCATGTGAAGGTTCATTGATTATGACACATATCATTATATAAAATAATACAAATCTAAGTAAATTTACGTAATACACACAACAACATAATATGTCTTTCTCCATTTGATTTTAAACTCTACACGTAAAATATTAAAGTTAAATATGAAGTGGAGAACTTTAACAGATTTGTATAACCTTTCGTGCTTTCACTGTACCCAAGTTATCGACACATTTCCACGACATTCAAATATTATGAAACATATTAAGTATTTGTAAAGTCACGAAATAGGGTATTCTACTTTATTTTAAGTAATTCTTGTAACTGTTAATTTTAATTAAAAAAAAAAAGTAATAAAACAAATCAAGATTTAAACTATTTTTACACCCGCGAAAACGCTGTCCGTCATATTCGTGACGTCAGTGATATGTACACAAAACCATACCTCTGTGCACAAAACAGATGCAAAGAATAGAAATTAAAAGATGTTAATAAATCAAATCAAATTCCTAAATGGCGCTGTTGTGGCGCTTAGCTAATTTATATCGTTTATTTTGAAATTGATCATTTGATGGCATTATTTTTGTTGTATTAACACCTTTTAATCTTCTACTCTAAGAGGACATCTAGCTTTCTGAACAACAACAACGGAACAACGGAGTTGAATTCTGATTATTGAAAATGTCTACTAATAACAGCAGCAAACATATTGCAGTAAAAATTGGAATGCAGTAAAAATTAAGCCTAATAGGTAAATGCTTTTTTATCTCTTATCCCATCTATGGAGCTTCGGAGCTCAGTAAGTCACTCTCGCAGAATCTAGCATCGCCAATGATTTCTAAACTCTAAATATTTTGTAACTAACCATGATACACGATAAACGTTGATATATAGCTGCCAGTAGAGCTGCTAAACGAGTGCTGAGCTCGATGGCGTAGTCGATAAGCGCCGCGGCCGGCGATCATTGTTGTTAGGCAACTTTCGCATGGGTCGGTCACGGGATGGGTAAAATAAATATTATCTCGAGTCACTCTGTGCTTCGGAAGGCAGGTTAAGTTAAGCCGTTGGTTCCGGCTGCAATTGCAGAAGTTAATACCCTCCAAACCGCATTATACCAGCGTGGAGTGTCATGGCCCATCCTCCTTAATCATCCACAAGGAAGGCCTGAACCCCTGAAATGGAGACGTATAAGGGATGATGATGATGATAGCTTCAAATACTTCATATTGTGGATGATATCAGAGCGTTGTGCTAGATATAGTTTCTACGGCACTCCTTGATAGCAGTCATAATATAAAACGTCTCAAAAGAATTCAATTGGCCATAATTTGACTGGGTTATTGGTGTTATTATTAGAACCGTCATATCACTCGATATCATAAAGGCCAACACAGTTTTGGATTCAAAAAGTGTCCTACTCTGCTTACTAGAATGTGCAGATGCTGTTTCAGACAAAAAAGTTAGTATCCTATTTATCTTATCTTTTTCTTTAGGTCGATCAACAATAATACCCTTTTATTTTCAACAATAGATTTATTTTTACTAATCTTCTAATTACCTTGTAGCTTCTGTTACTTTTAAAACATAATATAGCTTCCATTGATCGCAAAATATTTCATATGAATTGATAAAAAATTTAAGGTTATCTCAATGTTTATAAATGCAGATGATTGCGGCAAAATATGTTTTTAATTTATATAAATACTTATATAACCGAATTCAGATAATTAAGTCACATGATAAACTTAGTAATTCAGATAAAAACTTAGTTCTCATGACCATAGTGTCATATGACAATCAAAGAAATCAACAATAGTAGTTGTTTATCTCACAATTTTGTTATCAGCCCACCGTAAACGCATGTTTATAACAACATAGGAAGAGCTGTTAATTTATTATTATATTTTTTGTTGATTCAAATCATATACGGAAGATATTTGTGAGTGATGAAAATAACGAAAATTTCGATAATTGAGCGTTGTCTAGCTGTTGAATAGGGTTCCCAATGTTTTTGGTCTCGGAATCCTAATTGAGAATATATTTTTGGCAGAACCCTATTTTGGCAACTAAATATATTATCTTATTATGTTTTTCATGTGAAACTTCAAAAAAAAGAACACATTATAAACGACAGGTAATATTTCGGGCATCATAGCCAAAACTGCAGCCAAGTCGTAGAGTTCAACGACTTGGCCACAGTTTTGGCTACGATGTTTAGCCGTTTAGTCGAATCGAGACTCCATTCAATGAATAAATGAAATGAAATGACACTTTAAATACCATACAAAGACTTCATATGCATAAAAATTTATATTATTCGAATAAATACTAATACGCACATTAAACTTTACCAAAACTGTAGTGATTACAGTATTAAATGAAGCCTTTTATAATCTCGTCTTGGTTGTGGGCCTTCTCCATCATTTTCCGTTTCTCCTAGTGTTTACTTATTCTCATTCAGTTTTTCCTTTTGTATTAATAATATTTTAGCCCACCATTTGATGCGTCTTTCAAATATTACAGTGTTATACACACGTTTTTGTTTCCAAAGTCATTGCTCATGTTTTGATTTCTAAATTGGTACCCTATTTCCTCACGAACGCTCGTTATGCTATTTTGGTCTGAATTTCTGGCTTTCAGCGTCCACAGTTAATGGTGACGACAATTTTTTATTACCACGCTATTTAAGATCACTACAATTTCATTAATCAATGATTTTATATATTTACGTGATTTTGATTTAGTAGAATCTCTTTTTTTCGATATTGTTACGCTTTATGAATATGTATTTGAATTTATCATCATTACCAGCCGTGAACCACCACGCGGGCCCATAGATATTAACGACTGCAGATGCAACCGAAAGCAAAATTAAAAAAGATATTATAAAGCTTTCATCAACATGAAAATATATTATCAGTGTTACCTTCGTTGTTCTAAATTTGTTGATATTACAAACAATATATGGGATGTTGTCAAATATTAATTGTAAATGTTTCAGTCGGAATTTAAACAAAACACTAACCTACTTTCTTGTTAAAATACAACATGTTAATAAACACAGGGCTGTCTCCTGTTTACAAATAGTGTCACATTATTATATAAAAGCAAATTTGTCCTGTCATGTGGCTCAGATAACTGCGTTGTTTGGAGAACACACAAGCTAATTACAAAACACATTGACTAATTTACTGTAAAGTCAATTCGGTAGAGTTAATTGAGAAGGCAGGTTTGTCAAAATTCTCTTTTTCTATCAATTAAATAGCTTATTTTAAAGTGTAATTACATATTTTTATAGATAAATGGAAATGTTACTTTTCGTGTATTTGTCTTCAATATTCTTATTGTTGACAGCTATTGTGGTAACAAAAAGATCCAGGAAACAGCGGAAGGTAGGCATCGATTCAAATGGTTTTTAATTTGTTTGCAAATTTCAAAATAAGTTGCAATAAACTTCCGAATCTATGTTATTGAATATACCTAAAACGCATATTATTTTCTTTGTTATTATTTGTACTTCTTTTTTTACTTATATATCTAATGGAAATCAATGAGACACAGACTCAGGGCCGGCCCGTCCATATAAGAAAACTAGGCAACTGCCTAGGGGCTCGGATTTGGAGGGCGCATGACATGGCGCCCAGATTATGTTTGATTTAGTTATTTGAAAATTAAAAAATCTGCTTGATAAAAAACTTCTTCTTTAATAATGTTCGTGGTATTCATAAGTACAACATTTTCAGACCATTAATATCTAAGGAGTATCTTTTGTCGTAGTAAAATTACAGACTATAATCGGTGTATCTAAATTAGTAATTTATTTAGTTGTGACTTTTTATGGTCGTTCTAGTGTTATGCCTAGGGTAGCAAGATTCAGTGTTTTGCCTAGACAATTTGATTTTCGTCAACAATACACAACTTTGATCTGTTCACGATCCAGATTGATTGTCTAATGACTGGCTATAGGTTCGTTTATTGGGGTAAATAATAGTCTGTTTGTTAATCCAGGCGTAAAATTATCCGTCTACCAAACTCCATCAAAATTAGTTCAGTAGTTTTTTCGTGAAAAAGTATCAAAAATCTATCCGAAAAAAACTCACACGTTTATATTATAAGTAAGATGTTGTTGAACGATAAACTGAATGAGGAAATATTAAAAAAAAAAACTTAGCAAATTTCAGTTTTTTAATTTGTTACTGAAAAGGAACTGAAATGTCTATCTTTGGTCCATTCGTTTCCTGCAAAAAATCAACCGTTGGTAGAGTCGCCATCTAATGAGTTACTTTTTAGTGCTTTAATTTTTTTCTTAAAATAAGTCATTATTAAAAAAAACTTATTTTCAAATTTACAATTGTTTTAACGTTACTGTAGTGTTGTATTCACATGTGCAATTAAACTTGCAATTGTTTATACTTACAACTATGCTATCTTGTATAAACAAATAATTATAAAGATTTAAGCTAACTATGCGAAGACATCTTGATCTCTGTAAGATTTTTAAGTCAATATTATGATGTATTATTTGTTTTATTAGATTTTCCTAAGTTTTTTACTGTTCTCCTCAGTACTAATACAGATTTGCAGTGTAACATACTTTCACATCAGTCAATTACCATTATAATAGGTATATATATAAAAGTACTATGCAGATATTCACGTAGTCTTATTGGTTGACTGGTTCCACAACTCCCAGCTAAATTAATGTTATAAATGAAAATCTCCTTCCGTAGCCGAGTGATTCTGGTTTCTGGTTAGTGTTGCCAGCTCTGATATCCCGGGTTCTATTCGCAATCGGGTCTATATAGAAAATGGACTGTCTCGGGTCTATGAGTTGTGGTATCTTCGTTGTCTCAGATACTCCATAATACAGGAACTTTATTAGTGTTTATGCATTGTGTAAACAAACATTGATGAATTAATTTATTAAATATAAAAACAGGTTACAATGGGCGGATGGGTGAGCTACCTTCTCTGGGGAGGTAACCCCGACGAGGTCAACCCAGTGTCAGGGTTGACCAGGCGCGAGGTGTACGCGGTACAGAAGTCTTGGGCACCGGTCTTCGCGGACTCCGTAGCGAACGGCACTGAGATATTAAAAAGGTAATTTATCTATTATTACTAATAATCACAATGATATATTTACAAAAAACATGTATATTTCAAAATTACTCCCGGTGAAGTAATTATGAAATATTGACCTTATGAAAAAAAAATGCCTTTGCATAATATTAAATTTTTCTCTCATAACTTTTTCTAAATAGTTTTACATAAAAGAAATTATAAATCGGTAATAGAAAAAATACTTTTAATTATTTTTAATGTACTTTGTAAAGCCTTTCCTGAACGTTTAGTCCAGTGAAATAAAAATTGAAGTAAGACAAAATTTGCATACAACTGAAAATTGGTATAGGTTTAATGAAATGTAAAAATCCACATCGATCCCACTTCTACAAAAAAAATATGTTGTCTATTTTGACTAGACTAGTTAGCGTTAAATTCTACACTTGTGTCATTGCTTTTAAGTATTGTTTTGCCATTATACTTTGTTCATACATTACGTATCTATATAATAATTAATTAAATTCTATATTATGTTTGTTGGTTTTTGTTGGTTGTTGAGGTTTGTTTGTTAAAAACTGATAGAAACTGCTATTAAAATTTACAACATGAAAAAATACAGAATCGAAATATTTCTTTTTAAATTGGAATCATTTCTTTCGCTCTCGTTATTTTGATTAACCAAAAGCTCTTAGTATGGAACCTACGTGTTGTTAATATGAGAATAGATGTCATAAAACTCTGTGATAGATTATTATTATAGTTTGGAACTTTAGAGAGTTAGATATCTTGTCATATTAGTAAAGATCAAAAGTTTCTTTAGAGTAATTTATATTTATGTTTCTCTTGGCTCTGTTAATTGAGAGTTTTCTTGTCATCTGACTGATTAATTACTAAGTGCTGACAAGACCTTCTAGTCAGGCAATTAAAAAAGAAAGTTAACTTTAATAAATTGTTTCCAAGTTTCTACTATGCCAGTGCCTACGTCAATTCCATTTTCAAATAGTTCCAATCAGCCACAGCTCAATTCTAAATTTAAATTTCCTGTAGAACTCCAGTGAAGGTAAATATTAAATTTCTAGATTCCTTTGTTTTTTTAAAACATAAAGTTTAAAAGTTCGGCTATACGATCGATATTTTGATGGAATTGGATTTATAGTAAACGTTCTATAAGCAAGCGATTAATATGAATAATTATCACATTCGTAGAATGCCTACCTTGATAGGGTTTTAATAACAACGTAGACATAGTAGTTATTAAAAATAAATTGTACACGATGTTTGTTTTAGGTTTCACTTTTTGAATAATAAATGATAGTTCATTATATCATTTTGGGTATGTTCCGATATACACTGCGAGCACTGCGCAGTGGTCTTACTGCTGAAAAATCCGTTCCGTTATGGACTGCCAGTACACTGCTACAGTACCCTAGGGAAATTTATGACGTCATAAATTTCCGCCATATTTGTACTGTGAGCACTGGAGATTTCGAGGTAAGGTGCTCGCAGTGCTATTGATCACGTGATCAGTCGAAACAGAATCAGAAAATGATAAGTCTCTAAATAAACAAAAAAAAATACTTACGTTTATTAGAAGATGGATAAATATTTTTTTTATACAATTTTCCAATTTCATAATATTTTCTTTTGAAAAGAGGGAATCTTTATATTTATATTCACCTTGCATTAACAAATTTGAAAATGGCGCCAAAAAATAGAATTAACAGTATACTGGACTGCGTTCCGTTTTAAAAAGTCACCAGTATAACTAGCTATAAAGGAACGGGCTTCCAGTATACTAAATTGACGTCATACTGTTCAGTGGTCGCAGTGTATATCGGAACATACCCTTTATTTTCAGTGAGTAATCAAATTTATTACGGTAAAACGACCTCTTCTCGGTTTTGAATAGAGTTGAAATTTGCATGCATATAATAATTTTTCATCAATGTGTATATTTTTTCCTGTAGTTTAGTTACATTAATGGATCACTTTTACGAAGATTTTTTAAATTGCTTATTTGATGTTAAATAACCTCAGAGGGTATGCGACGAGTCCAAGTTACTCTTGGCTGTTTATAAGGAGAAAATACTGTTATTTTTCTTTAGACGTCCCCTAAAATAAATTATTAGCTGGTTTACAACTACAAGCAGTAACACTTATATAATACACTTATATAATTTAAATGTTACTTTGTTAATATGTCCATAAAAACGCAAATTATTCAATTTGCGTTTTTATGAGCGTTTCTAATATAAAATTAGAATAAAAATGTTGATTTATAAAAAAACTAATACGTTATAATGTTACCATAGACAGTAAATTTTAAATAATTAATAAAACCCAAGTTTATGTGGCACGTGCGCTCAAGTATATTTTTTTAGTATCGAATTAAAATTGACGACCGATCTCCGTAGCCGAGTGGTTCGCACACTGTATTCGTACGCCGGTTTCAAAGTAAATAAGTAGATTTTTAACTTAATTGTAAGTGATTAAATATGTAAACACAGAAATACACAGTAAGTAGCAAGTAATTAAATTCATAATGAGTTAACTAAATTTTAACTTATAACTTATTTGTTTGTTTACACGTACTCAATTACTTAAACATTCTTATCTTACCTAATTTTATGAAAACCAATCATAATAAAAAAATGCCAAGAAAAATATCTCTAGATACGCCCGCCGATGCTCTTTGCTCTCCTCCGGTACCCGGACCCTTACTCTTACACTTTTCTCGAGTACATCACATTCTCGACCAGAGAAAAGTGACAATTGGTGTAGACAGCATGCTATAAGATTCCCGGTCGGGAATCGGTTTTGAAAATCTTATATACAAACCGTATCATGAATCGTGGAACACATATAAATTGAATCATCCAATTTAGTGCAGTTGGAATTGAAATTCGGTAGTTATGCGCGTACATACGTTTCGGCGATTCATTTTTATTCATCGATATTTAATAGCTCGCGCGGTCATTTTTTTATTTTCCGATAACTCATTAGTTTTTTTTATATGGTGTAAAAGGAAATTTGCATCTACGTTACATGCATAACGTAACTAACTTATTTATTGGAATAAGGATTAATACTATATTGTTAAAAAAAGGTTCGTAAATAGACAGACAGACAGAAGCGGCGGGGGCCTTTGTTTTATAATATGTAGTGATAATAAACATACGGTGATAATGGAATAGATTATTAAAAATGTTTTTTTAGTTCTATGGCTAGAGTTATAAAGCGAGAAAAGCGATCGTTCCTCATAATACGAGATCCAACTGCTTAAATCTGCATGTATCTGTTTTTTTTGATAAAACTTAATTTTTATCAATGATAAGTAATAGCAGAATAGATTACGGCAGGGTTGCCTATCAAAATTTGGCCGCAAATATTTTAATAACATACCTGTTCATACCTGGCAACCCATAGATTGCGACCGACTGAGAGCTGGCAACCATTTTTATTTATATTTCTCCCATCATTTCCTTTTAAATAACATTGGATTCACTTAAAAAACATGTATATGTAATTTATTAACAGAACTTAATTATAAAATATTTAATTAAAAATATTTGCGGCCAAATTTTGATAGGCAACCCTGCCGTAATCTGTTCTGCTATTACTTATCATTCATAAAAATAAAGTTTTATCAAAAAAACAGATACATGCAGATTTAAGCAGCCGGATCTTAGACTATCAGCTGTCCAATTCTGCTACAGTGTCATTAAGGTTTAGCGTTGGAATAAATTTACGCTGAGATTGCACTTAGTATTAGTCAAAATTTATATTATTAAACAGAGACTTCGCAAAGGTTAACCGAGTATGAGATAATAAGAAAGTAATATTTACTCCTAGAAGGTAGTAAGTTTGCTTATTATCTGTTTAATATGAATTTGGACTAATATTAAAATTACAATTTTAGCGTAAATCTACTCTGACGCTACACCTTGTTTATTAATAACACTACTAATGTTTACGTAAGTATAGCATCTCAATATAATCTCACCGAGTTACATTTTACTATTATTTGTGAAATGTAACTCGTTAAGATTCTATTGAGAATTCCAATATTATTAGTGCAATGTTTCCCTTACACATAATAATAATACTAGGACTTCAGGTCCTAGTATTAATACTAGGACTTCAGGTCCTAGTATTATTATTATATATATTAAATATATTCAGGTATATGTATAGTAAAATGGCAAAAAGCAATTAGTTGAAATTCTATTGAAGTGCAATTATTACGTCAGCAAAATCGGTCTGCTGAACGACTTCTCTACATTTGATGACGATATATTTAAACACTTTGTACCAAGCGAATGTGAATGGTTTACATTCCAATGTATAAAATCAATATAAAATAATGTATTTCAATATACGAAAGCAATATTTCAGATAATAAATGTAGTCTAGTGATTGTATAGAGCGCGGCAAAGCATTTTTAAATAGCATTGAGCTCGTAAAACTCAGAAATAGGGTAGGGCTAAAAAAAACGAATAAGCGGCTTATGTTATGTAAAGCAAGTGAGATCGATAGCGCAGTGGTAAGCAGACTAGTTAGGCCAGGTTAGGTTGTGGGGATTTACCCGGCGGGCTCCTTGTTGGATCCCATGCCTTTCTCCTTGTTGTATATTTATTCATCCACGTCGGCCATTTTACGTCCCTACTGGAGGGGCCCAGGCATGCCTTTTGATAAGAAAGATGTGCCATTACCCTCCGTGCTAACCCAATGCGGATTGGAGGATATTAAAGACTGCGAACGTAGCCGGGACCAACGACTTAACGTGCTTTCTGAAGAATATTTGTTTTGATCACCCATCCCTTGACCTCGCTAAAGTTACTTAACAAAAACTATCACGGGCTGTAAAACTAAAATCACCGGACAGAACTGCAGCAACACATTCCAAATTATGAAACAGTTATACATAGATAATTATTTTTTTTTTTACAATTCAACTTTGTAATTTCTCCTTATTATTTACAACCGTATTAAGAACAACATTGTCCGTTCAATAATAACCCTTAAAACGAGAGATTCACAATAATTCCGTTACAATGGAAATAGCTCTCGAACACACAATTGAATATGTCGTCGTCGACTTACATGAATGTAAATTCAATTCGTTCCTTTTGCGAACCATTTAAGAATTGGTGTGCCCCAATAACTACCTACACAATGCCTTGTTAAAATAAGAATGGGTGCTATTAATGTTAATGTTTACGTTAATACCACTGAAATACTGGCGACCGATGTTGCAACAGATCTTAAAAAAAAATAAGAGTGTAAAATCCTCTTTGCTTAAAGGATTGTTGCTAAATCTATTTGGCCATGTGCCTATATTTTTTAAAGTAGAAATACTTTGAAATTAATTTGTAGTTTTCATTGCGGGGCTTTTACTGCCTATCTATCTTACCAGTCCGCATTCGTGGATTGAATAATTTCGAGTTCTATTACTGTTTGCGAGAACATAGAACGAATGTTACTTTATTGTCTCTAGTCAGTGTCATTAGGGCTTTGACGTTTCAAAAATAAACTGACCACGTAACAAAGTTATTATTTTAATCTTATTAATCCTATTAATATTATACATGTGAAAGTTTCTTTGTTTGGATGTTTGTCCGTCAATCACGCCGAAATTACTGAACGGATTTTGATGAAATTTGGTATACAGATAGTGTTTTAGCTGACTTAGATAATAGGACACTTTATCCCACTAAACATTTCCCTAGGGTCCACGCGGGCGAAGCCACTGGCGAAAGCTAGTAAACAATAAACATGAAACTCAAATTTTATAAAGTGGTTAAAAATATTGTCTAGGTAGGTACTTAAATAATTTGATTTCATGATCTTAGATTTATTTATTTATTTATTGGCCCATAAAACAAATTACAGACATATATTTAATAAAAAAAAACATAGAAAACATTACACATAATCATATACCTATAGGACAGGATAATTATGTACACATAATTAACCTATTATTTGTATAGCAATCAAGAAATGGATAATCTATAGCAATGAGTTAATTAGACATAAAACAATAATAGTATAGAGAAACTATAGGGTAATTAATTTATATTACATTATTTCGAATCGTAACCTCCCTCACCAAGAAAGTTGAGAAAAAAAAATTATAAATAGCTAAAATTTTCCAGTAATACTCTTTTAAACCTTTGCAGGTTTAGATACTTGATAACGTTTCATTCTTATTCATATTTACCGTAGTAGTTCAACATTTATTCGTACAAGATTGCTAACAAAGGCAAAAGAAAATATCTAACTCTATTTTATCCAAGGCTATTGCTATATGATAATGAATGCCTTGAATTTGATTTTTTTACAATGATGAAAAATGTAGTACGCCCTAATACGCCAGTAACAGTGATGTGGCCAAGTAACCAAAGGGTTTGAAGTTGCCTAGCAACCAATTGTTGACTTCAATGTTAACATATTTTGATTTCATTAATAGTCTTGTTTATTTACTACTAGTTTTAAGAAGAAAAATATTTCTATAATAGAAACCCTATCGAAAGATAATTGTGATCGTAAAGCGAAAAAGTAACAAGTGATTGAAAAATTCAATAGTCCTGTTAGGTCCTGAGTAGCTCTGAGGTTATAGCAGTCGCCCGAATTGCGAAAGGTCATGGGTTCAAGTCTCATCCCAGAGTGCTAGGGACAAAGTGGATTTTTAAGCATTTTTCATTAAGAATATACTCTTTGTTTTACATATTTAAATTAAGTACCAGTTTCCTGTCAATTTTGAATTGAGAAATTTATTCTGGTATTCTATTTAGGTATTTCGAACGAAACGAAGGAGTTTCGTTAAACTGTTAGAAAATTAGGAATTCCTTATGGCAACTAACTCGGAAGTAACGTGTGAAGAATTCACGGATTGTCTCACGAAATTCCATGAGAGCGTTCTTTGAATTTCTTAAAATTACAATTTGTTGCTTAATTAACTACTATTCGTTTTGTAAAATTTTATACCTAATCTATTTGCGATTGATACCTTTGACCTTTACTGTGCTACAAAATTAATAATATTGTAAAATGTTCATGCTTTTCCTACTTAATATTTATAATTGGTTGAGTAATTATGAATTATTGTCACGTTAAAAGGTCACGATGCCTTTCATTGAAAATGTCAGAAGTCGCTAATGTGGAGCTTTTTATTTTATTTATCAACTAGCTTTCTGCCAGCGGCTTCACCCGCATGGTCTCTATAGAATTGTTTAGAGGGATACAAAGTAGCCTATACCCAGGCTTAGAATCTAGAATCTTCGAATTAATTTCATCAAAATCTGTTGAGTTGTTTTTGCGTGAAGAAGTAACAAACATCCATACTTACAAACTTTTTAAATCTTTACATTATGTTTATAGTGACACATTTAACGCTTGTAACATTATATTATCAATATATTAAACTACACATTTAAATTAATTAATTTAACTAAATCCTTTTATTGAAACAATCGAAACCATGATGTCGCGCTATCCGGCTCAAACGATTGCTAACAAACTTTTTGTTTTGTTATTAAGAAATAAGAAATCTTAACCAGAGACAAATAGATACTTATAAAAATTGGTGCAGTTAATTATACTTTTAGGTACATTTACTCTTTGGTGCAGCCAAATGGAACGACAAATTGGAGTTCATTGATATTGATTTTAAAGTTCACATTGAATTAACCTTTCATCGAGATACCTATTTAAAATGACTAAACATTAATTATGTTCCAACTTTTAATGTATCTAAGCGAGTGTATTATACAATGCAAAAGTCAATTTTTAGTTTTCATAATAGTTTAAAACTATAGTAGAATAGTCTTTATAAAATATTCCTTTGGCTAACGCATCTTCATAAAAAATAACTTTTAACTCGTTCACAGATTATTTAATACATATCCAGAGACAAAAGATTTCTTCAAGATGGTGAAGAAGTTACCAGAGTCGGAGTATACTCAGAACATGCAGTTCAAAGCGCACGTCATCAACTTAATGACTTCCCTCAATCTGGCTATTACCAACCTTAACCAGCCGGAGGTAGTCGCTGCAATGATGCATAAAATCGGTGACAACCATAAAAGAAGACAAATCAAAGAACAACATTTTCATGTAAGTATCAACCATATTAGAATAAGCTACTTGACAGTTATAAAAAAATATAGTAAAAACATTTGAATAAACTTCTTTAAAGCGAGTAGAACGGTGGTTGCAGCCTGTGGCTGATGACAGGCAACCACTCATATTTATTGAAATAAGACGTCACGACTCGAAATGTTACGTTACTGATTGTTTTTGCAGAATGATTTAAATCAATAAATAATATATATATTTTCCCTTTATTTAACAATACTTTTTGAAAGAGAGAAAAGTAAATTTTTAAAATTGGTAGTGGTTTAATATGATCATAAGAGAGTTAAAATACTTTTTTCAAAACAGTCGAGTAAGTCAATTGCTCTAGCTTTTCAGACTTCAAATCCTAGTTTTTTTTTATTAAATCTAACATAATCTTAAAATTATCAATTTTTAATTCAACACAACATTTAAACCTATTTTATTTAGATTATAAGCGAAGTCTTCATTATGAACCATTTCATTTTAATTCGTAGAGCTCTTTTGTTTGCACGCTTTCTTAATGCCCTTTTGTTTGCCCGCAGGACTTGAAGAACGTACTCGTCAAGGTGTTTGTGGAAGTTCTAAAGTTGGACGCGAACACATTGAGCGCTTGGGGCAAAACCGTAGACTTCTGGTACAAGCACATATTTCCCGCGCTAAACGAACCAGAGACAAGATAACAGATATTTACTGGTCTTTTTTAAATGTTATTTATAACAACTATGGACTAATCCTTAAATTTTAAAACCTACCGCTAAACCCGTTGAAAGATTGTAAACAGCATTTTTTTATAACTTTCATAGATATTGGCACTTACCTTAAACAATTCCAAACGAAATTATTTTAAAATATCTTTTATTAAAATGTCACGAGCACAATGGCTTTAATAGGTCAATTAGTTGGTGAATATCCTTCATATTTAATTATCCTTCATAAAAGGGATTGCGACAGATTTCAAAATTAGACAATTAGCCCCTGGATGGACTAACGTTTATGTATGATTTATGTCGTTCAATCGATGATTTGATTTTTTTCTACGTTTTTTTTATAAATATTATGACTATGGGCATTTGATGTCTCAATTTTTAAACTTATATTCTCTGTCAATATATGTAGATGAAGGTTAATAAGTATTTTAATACTTTAACTGAATATATTATTTAATTAGAGATACATATCAATCGATATATTTTTTGCTATTTGACATTATTTATATCGTTTTATTAAGTTGTAAATTATTTACAAAAAAAACTTTGCGCTTAAATGCACAATTAATATATCAGATTTTTTTTAATAAATTTTAATGAGAAAGATTGCCATTTTATACGAGTTAATTTCCACAATCCATAAGTTTTAAGATTCCATTACCAAGAATATATTGTATAAGACAAAATTCATTTCAACAACACTTAGGGCTGCTACCACATATTATAAGTAGGTATTTTATATAATACTATAGCAAAATAATTCTGTGATTATTTCAATCAAATATTAAAATAGGTGCTTGCGTAGGAATAGACATAATAAAGTAGGTTCATGTATTAATGTAATAACCGCATCAAAGTTAATTATAATAAAGTATGTAAAATCTTAAGTCAGTTAATTATTTGGGATTCATTATTGTCTTGTAATTAACAGTGAGAAACCTTTCGCACGTTGGGAACGATACTGACACAATGCAAAAAATGCGATTTTGAGTAATGCGCGTTTAAAGTTCAAGAAATTGTAATCAGCTCCTCTAAACAACGTATCGTCTCTACGCCACCTAGCAGTTTCTATGCAAGCTACGTTCAAAGAGATCTTTGCATTTTAAAGTTTATACTTAACAAGGAAAAAATTTGCCAAAAGTAAAAAATACGTCGTTTTTGGTTAGTGATATTGTCATTCTCAACATGCGACATCATAATATGTCGATTGATAATAATGTCTTTTATTATCCTTCGACAATAATGTCTGTTATTATCCTTCGACGATCGATTATGATATAAGATTCCTCATTGTTAATTACAATTTATTTAGACTGTATTCATTTGTTTTTAATATTGTCGCCCTCTTAAATGCAACAAGCTTTATCTAGAGAAATACTCTAAGGATCAAGTCGATGATTTGTTAAGCGTGGTAACCCTAATATCGCTATATAAACAGTAATTGTTTCGGTGACAGTTAAACTTCTAACTGTAGATAACCTTAATGATACTTTGGAAGTTGGCTGAGTGCGCCGAGAGGACATGTTCATAATGGGTTTGGAGAACTTTAGCTTGTGAAATAGAATGTGCAGAGTGCCATTTCATATTATTATAATTCTGTTGTAGGTACATACCACTCTCTAAACTTATCTTTAAAAATGTGTACATTTTATTTCGTTGTCGTCACGATTAGCCTATATGTCCCTACTACTGGATCACAACCACAGAACATAGAGAGAGAATAGAAGTAGTAAGTGGGCGGGGCACGCGTCGCTGGCATATGCGCTTTTACTCATATGACGCCCTTTCCTCGGTTTTATGTTTGCCAGTCGTTCGTCAATCGTCGAGTGGTGATTTTACAGATTTTTTTTATAAAAAATGCCGTTTTGTGCTATTATCACTTGCAAAAAGCAAAGCAAAGTATACAATCTAACTAATGCAAACATTTCCTTTCACTGGTAAGTACAATTTTAGTGCTAAAATATAAAAAACGTAATAATTTGACACAATGTTAAATAAAATATACATTGATTGCTCAAACCAACATCAATGTTTCTGACCCCATTACTAAACAGCAATGTAAATCATTTTGTGCACTTTTGCAAAAAATAGTGCTGTGCCTCCATTTGTCTGAAATGTACCGATAGGCTGCTGCTGCTCGGAATCGTATTGTTATTTATATGGATCGTAATCGATAACTAAAACATATTTATTTAGAGCTTTTCTTTCATCATTTCATAACAACGTTATCGATAAATATATGCCATAATTATATAAAACTAAAAAATACTGTTTACAAGGGAAAATTATAGATGAACTGATACTGAACAAATGAAATAATGAACTGTCCAGGCACTTTTAATACGAAGATTCGGTTAATTATTTACACGCAGATAAATATTAAAAATTACTGATGTGCTATAAATATCTAAGTTACGAAGTATATCACCGTTTTATGAACAATACATAAATTAAACGAAACTTCGTGAAAAGCTAAGAGTTGGCCTAATAGGTCTTGTTAGAAACTGGTGAAACTGGATTTCACTTATTTTGCATTACTTATATTTCAGTTTCCCTAATAACTTTACAACGGATTGCCTTGTTTACATGATTAATTTTGCCTTATCTGTTTTAGACCTAAACCTATCAAATGAATTTCAAAACAACATAATATCTATACAAACAAAAAATTATGTTTTCAACTAACGTAATATTGTTGGTGGTGTGAATTTAATTTACAAAATTATTTTTTGGCGTCAATTTAATTTACCTTATTCTGCTGATTCATAATCGGAAACTATTATTATAGAAATCGAATTAAGAAAGTCACTTTAAAGAACCGCCCACAGAACAGCTTTTATCAGTTTTTTTGTTGCTCCATATTTGCACATAACTTTATAGACGCATGTCTCAAACGGATGTGACTTTATATGTAGATTGACGTTTGTACGTACTTATCGCTTTTGTGTCTATCTTCAAACTTTTTTTGTCACGGCTTTCAAACTCATACTTGACCAGCGATTCCTTATTGTCCAGTCGTTGCAATTAATAATGTAGCTACTACTATTATTACAGATATAAAACTTAGAATAATAAAGTAAAACAAACATGGCTATGATCAATTTATTAGTGTAATGATCATATTAGTTATTATGAAATGAAATGAAAATATCTTTATTCAAGAAGGCTATTACAAGCACTTGGAATGGCAAGTTTATTTTTATTTCTACTTTTTTTTTGTGAAGGAATCGTAATGTTTTCTTGCGTACATAATATTTTCATTGATGTATTGAGAGGCAACAGTCAAAATATTTATTTCTTTAAATATTTCTCTGAGAGATTCTCTAGACCGTAAATTATATATAGCGTGGACAGCTCTCTTTTGTAGAATAAAAATATCTTGAATGCTAGCCGCAGAACCCCATAACAATAGATTATACGTCATTCATTACACTATGAAAATAACTAAAATATACCAATCTTGCCGTTTCAACATTTGTTAAGAGTCTAATTTTCTTAACAGCAAATGCTGCAGAACTCAGTCTACTTGACAAATTATCAATATACCAAAATACCAAGGAACTCTGTCGATTCCACCGTCTCAACTTTTTCACTATTTACATTTATAAGTATATTAACATGCCTACACATTAGGTAATGCAAACTTTATGTATTTCGTTTTATTTGAATAAAGCTTTAAATAATTACTATCAAACCACTGTAGAAAATTGTCGAACTGAATTACATTGAACTGTTTCATGACAAAATTTAAAGCTCTTATTTTATCAACTAATATGTCACATCACTAATATGCACAATCGGAATGATACCAGTAAGAAAAAAATACAAATTAGGCTTAATGTAATTAATACAAAAATTCTGTTGTTTTCTTAATTTTTGTTTTTTTTACACTTACCCTCGCTTAATTATATTACTCCACAGACATACGATAGAGTGTATCATTAAGTTTTCTTAGTTTTTGTACTGCGTTTTTTAAAAGATATTTTAATAAATTATGTAGGGAAAAGCCTTAATTTTTCAGTATTCACTTGGTTACAGCAAAATCTAATATTAATAGTTCGCACATAAAATGATGACCCCAATTTTTTTAAATGTGCATAATCTTAAAATATTTTCTTCCTTCTGGTATCCCCATATACAGCCACGTGACAGTTCAACATTCATGTTAAAGTAAATTATTTATTATCACGTTGAATTAGAGTTTGTTTTTAATCGTGTGATTTCTTAGCTTAGTATCTTTTTGGGATTTGATTTATGTTATCGCGAACCAATCGCGTGGCGGTTTTTCATGTAGTGAACAAAATGATCATTTCATCTAATCTGCATTTGTGTGCGGAGAGGCGACACTCGGTTCCCATACTAAATTAATATCATTATACTTCTAATCTCTCTCTATGTTCTGTGATCACAACCCTTTTTATGGATAAATATGAATCGATTAACGGAGAATGGAACCACGCGGCCCCAGTGTGGAATGGTGGATGTTAACGACTACAGATGCAGACGGGACCTGAACTCCAGATAATAATTTTTCGGTCATCCATTTTTTTTGCCTTTTTATGGTAGGGAAATGCTTATAAACAGTCCTCGCCGAAGGCCGCCCGCCCGAAGGCTAGTAGAATCACTATAACCACTGCGACATCAAACTATTCAACTATCACAAATAATTAAGAATATTATTGTTGTTTACAAAATAGAAAACGCAATTCGACTGGAAAACAAAATTTTGATCCAACTTATGAAACAGAATCGGCACCTTTAACATATAACACCTGTGGTCTTGTTTCGTTAAGAGTGGTAGGTACTACAGAATTGGCACTTTCCATTAAAAAATATTTATTTTTATAATTTTACTGTAATTATGAGTTTGTATCCTTAATATAATAACTGTATCAGTGATTGATTTTTATTATTTATTTATGAAATTTAAGTACAAATAACATCTAATATATATTTAAGAACTACCTACTATGACGTTAAAATGTAATACTAATGCAAATAAAAATGACCTATCAAATTTGACCAATTTTATATAAAAAGCTAGGTGAATACTGCGTACTTGAATATATATATTAAAGTAACCAAACATAG